TAAACAGTGATGCCTGATGCTGCAGCCAGAGTTGCCGGGAAATAAGTGCGGGAACCGTCAGAGCTTGGAGAGGGAGGAAGGAGCTGAGAGAGGCGCGGAGGCAGCGGGGAGGGGGAAGGGAGGACAAAGGGTGGATGAATAATGCTTTTGCAAAGGGGAGAAAGCAACACGCAGCAGAAGGAGGAAATTTGCAAAGGGAAAAAGATTCATTTGGAGAAGGGCTGCCCCCTCACCTTGAGGTCTGCTCCAGAGATCTCCGTCTATCTCTCTCTCTCTCTCTCTCTCTCTCTCAATCTCTCTGCTCACTCTTCTCTCTTCTCCTTCCGCTCCTTCAATGGGGAAGGGGATGGGGGCGGGGGGAGGGTAGTTAGGGGCTCAAGACTGGGGCTGCAAAGCTGGCCAGCTGCTAGGGGGCCAGAGGTTGTCTCCCGTCTGTACCTCGGGCTGTGGGTGAATGTAGCTGTATGTTGTGGAACTGCATCATAACACTGTGAGTCATCCATCCCCCACCCCCCTCACCTCCCACGTCAGAGCAGGGCTGGGAGACACAGGAGGAGGGTTGGGAGGAAGGGAGCGCGCAGGCATTGAAGGATGGGGCTGGGGGAGTGATGCAGAGGGATGGGAGCAGAGGGGCGGGACGGGAGGGGCGGGTGCAAGAGGAGAGGCTGGCTGCTCCGGAGGAAGGCGGTGTGGCCAAGGAGACTGCAAGAACCTGGGGGAAGGACAGGGCTGGGCAAGGATGGCGTACAGTACGGGTGGCAGGACTGGAGGAAAGGTGGTGGCTAGGCGGGTGACAGTGAGAGACGGGTGCAGAGTCAGGAGCGTGCACGCACATTCAAGATGATACATCTCCCATTTCAGCTCTGGTACCAGCCTTGACGCGGGGAAAAGAAAGACACAGTAATTATCACTTATGGCATAGAGTGCCCTCAAGCTTGTACCAGGCACTTCCAAGCCTCAAAGCCTCCAGCTGAATACCCGCGAAGGAGTCATAGACCAAATATGACATCTCACATGCAGAAACCTCTTATCACCTACCTCCAAATTACTTGTGCTACACCCACGTTACATAAGCTTCTCTACTGGGCTATAAACTTTCTGAGGCAGGTCCTTGGGAAACTCCTCTCTGCATCCCAGGACTGCGACGCCTAGCGCAGAACTCTGCATACAGAAGATGCTCACAAAACAGCCGTTGAGTTGCATCTTCAGATGTCCAAGTGTCTGGCTTTGGTCTCAGAGAGGCCTGAGTTGGAATCCCAGCTCTGCCAATACACTTACCAGACACCACTGGGTGAGTTACTGATAAACTTTGTGCCCCTGTTTTGCTCTTCTGCTAAATGAAGCTAATAATGTTTACCCCATGGAGACGTGAAGTAAAGCGAGGCAACATGTAAACACCTAAAAGATGCCTGGCACGCGATAGGCACTTAGTATACCATAGTAACTGTCATTTCAAAACAGTGGTCTCAACTTAATACCCCTAAACCCAGAGCAGATTTACTATTAAATTCTGATAGCTCAAGAGACACATGCCAGATTTATGTCTGATGAAGAATTTAACATCTTTCTTGCTATTTTTATATCGGTTTCCAGTTATATTTCAGTTGACCCAGAATATTTCTCATGGAGTGTTGCCCTGTGCAGGCTGCTAAAGTAGGTGGACACAGAATATAACCCTGTAAGATAAAAACTCCCATTTCTAACCAAGGCTAACATTCAGAAAACAAAATACTTTTCACAAGCAAGGAGGGGGAAAAGTTAAGGTAGGGAAATAAGGTTAATGGGAGGCAGTGCTAGCTGGGTCTGAAAAAGTGAAAGGAATTCTGAATATTTAATCAGGGAAGATTCTGGGGTTTAAGGTAAATTCTGAAAACACAGTGTGGGTATCTTGAGTGATGTTACCAGAGGTCTGGAACTGAGAGGTAGAACTGAGTAAAGAAAGAGGGAAATATTCTTGCCTGGGCAACAGATGAGGAGGGAAAGGTAAGTGGAGGAGGCATTTGTTGAGGAAAACAGTGGGAAGTGGGAAAAGGAAGGTGAGTAGTTTTTTAGGGCAAGGTTTGAAAGTGTGGAAGCAAAAAAGGATGCCACTTAATTTAAATGAACTCAGGAAGAAAATTATCAAGGATTTAGCTGGAGAGGAGAATGAACAAGACACGTGAGGACAGTATTATTTGGGGGTGGGGTGGAGATGACAGGAGTGCTTGGTGAAAGATTGAAAGTGAGGAAGATTGTAGGGAAGCACAGATGCTTTCAGTGTTCTGCCCTGACTCTTTCTGTGTTTAAGAAGCAAAATGGAGAGCAGTCCAAAGGAGGGGGAGGGGTTTCTTCTCCCTAAAGTCAGCTTGAGATGGCTATACAATACCCAAATTAAGAAGACCTTCAGAAAACTGGGAGAAATTGCCTCAAGGGAGAGGCAAAGAAACAAATCTGGGAGATAGACTGCATGGAAACAGGAGAGGATGAGCTCACTAAGGGAGAGAATTTTGCAAATGGAAGACTAGAATTGAATTTTTGAAGAATGGTGAAAGATTAGGGGATACCTGGTAGTTCCCTGTAGAGCTAATAGAGGCATGGTGAATGAATTAAATAATTAAAGCAAATCACCAAATAAAAAGTACTGTGAGAAGTGAGAAGTGAGGGACTTCCCTGGTGGTCCAGTGGGTAGGGCCCTATGCTCCCAGTGCAGGGGGCCCTGGTTTGGTCCATGGTCGGGGAACTAGATCCCGCACGTATGCCCCAGCTAAGAGCTCGCATGTCGCAACGAAGATCCCGCGTGCTGCAACTGAGACCCGGTGCAGCCAAAATAATTAAAAGAAGTGAGACGTGAGGAAGGCACTCTTAGGAAGGGAATGGTAAAATGGGGCCAGCCGGAAAAAAGCAACCCAGAAAATCTTACCAGGCTTTTCTACTCAGATTAACCCTGTGAGCTGGACTGAAAAAAGTACTCAGCTCTAAAGCAGGGATGACAGTTACAGTGTGTACTTCACAGGATTCTTGCGAGGATTAAATGGATTTATACCTGTAATGCCCGTAGAACACTGTGTGGCATCTGGCACTATGCATTTGCTATTATTATAACGGCACTCAAACTCCAAAATCTTGGGTTTGAGTACTAGCTTGGGCAAATCGCTTCACCTACCTTAGTCTCCTACCTCACCTGAAATTGAAGATGATAAAGCTGACTTTACAGGTGGCTGTGAAAGAGGATACCTGAAAGGGCTTTGAAAAATGTAAACCACAAATAGATGGTATCGTTATAGCTTCCCCTCCTCAATTTACAATAACTTAAGAGCTAACATCAGATGCTTTCTATGTTACAGGCATTGGGCTTAGTACTTTACATACATCATCCTATGCAGTCTTCAAAATAACTTGAAGAGTTTGGGTACTGTTATCGCTAGTTCACAGTCAAAAAACTGGGTCTCAGAGAGTTTAAGTCTATGATTTGCCCAAAGTCACACAGCAAGCAAGTGGCATACGTAGCAAAGAATACAAGATTCCAAAGTCCAAACGCATCAGAAGCGTAAAGACGTGGCCCAACCTGTTGCTTGTGGGGTTAAATGACTGACCTTGTATAACTGTCAGGGATTTAGGGAGTCCCCAACAAAACTCCCCGCTCAGTAGGAGAGAGGTTGTTGGGTAATGATTGACTTGCAGAGTAACTGGAAGAAATTCTTGGACTTCTATTCGTTTATTAAAAAAAATTTTTTTTAATGCTCTCTAGGGGGCAAACATTGTGTGGGGCTGGGGATGACAGTCCACGTTAGTTTCTGGTAAGCTGTTTTCCTCCACTTTCCCTACCCCTTGGTTTCCTCGTATCCAAATGGGGTTCTGCTAATTTCCCCGTTTCCAGGCGATCGTGGGACCTAGACTAGCGAGTCCCCTTCCCATCCCGTCGCCCTACCCCTTCCCGGACTGCAGGTGAGCCGGAGGACTGCGGCGAGAAGCCCCGACCGCCGCGTCTCAGCGACCATTGTCCCCCTCTGCTGGTCCCCGCCCCACGCGGGGGCGTAACCGCCACTCCTCCTACTCCGCCCGCCCCCGGGCTTCACGAACAATGACGGCCGCCGCCCGCCCACCTTTGACGTCACGATCAAAAACAAGCCATTAACTACAAGTCCCAGAAAGCCGAGCGGCTGCGCGAGCTCGTTCCCTCGCGGCTGTTCTGGCACAACTACATATCCCAGGGGGCATGGCGCGGCCGCGGCTTCTCCACTGCGCAAGTGCGGAAACGCCTGAATTTCCGGCGTGAGTCTAGGCGAGCGTGGCTAGCTCTTGGGCTTAGGTCCTAGTTAGTGAGGGCTTTTTGGTTTACAAGTTTGGGCTCGTGGCTGTACAGGTAAGGTAATAAGCTCGGGAACGCAACCGTCGCTTCCTTGGAGCCTGGGCAGATTTCGGTGCCTGGGGAGGCTGGGACAGATGCTGGACCTAGAGCTGCGATCCGGGATCGGAGATGATTCTTCGCTGTTCCTTGGCGTTTTCTAGTTTATGTAGTGATTTTTTCCCCCACTCCAGCAATCGCTGTTAATCCCCAGAGCAACACTTTGTGTGAGGAAGTGTAAGTTCCTCCAGTTGACAACTGAGGAAAAGGTACAGAGAAGTTAAGTGATTTATTTGTCTAAAGACACTACTAGTGGTTGCTGAGCTGTTTTCTTATTGCTGTTTTGAGTCCGAACCCGGTATTCTCTGCCTTGCATCCGGATTGCTGGTTCCCTTTCTTGTTGACTAAGAGGGTTAGGGATTGGGCATCTATTGCCTTTTTAAGTCTGGAGTATCCCAGTAGGGCGATGAAGGTGATGTAATCAAGTCTTTCAATCTGTAGATACCGTTTTCTTCTTACTCCGAGTCATGTATTCACTGGGTGTTTTTATAGAGGTGCCTTTGGGTTGTCAAGCTGTATTCTAGGTACTAGAGTTACGGCAGCAAACAAAAATACCCCCCCCCATTTACGTCCTAGTGAGGGTAGACAGACAATAAACAAATATATAGTGAGACAGATGGTGATCAGAGGTAAGAAGTATGAAGCAAGGTAAGGAGAAACGTCCACTGGAGGATCTTGAAGTGAGTCCTGACTTCTGTTTTGATCTGATGTTTGTGTTCTAGGCACAGCAGCCACACAGAAAAGATGGGAGAGGAGGCCAGTGATGACAAGAAGCCAACTACTAAATTTGAACTAGAGCGAGAAACAGAACTTCGCTTTGAGGTGGAGGCATCTCAGTCAGTTCAGTTGGAGCTGCTCGCTGGCATGGCAGAAATCTTTGGCACAGAGCTGACCCGAAACAAGAAATTCACCTTTGATGCTGGTGCCAAGGTGGCTGTTTTCACTTGGCACGGCTGTTCTCTACAGCTCAGTGGCCGCACCGAGGTGGCTTATGTCTCCAAGGACACCCCTATGTTGCTTTATCTCAACACTCATACAGCCTTGGAGCAGATGCGGAGGCAGGCGGAGAAGGAAGAAGAACGAGGGCCCCGGGTGATGGTAGTGGGCCCCACTGATGTGGGCAAGTCCACAGTGTGCCGTCTGCTGCTCAACTACGCAGTGCGTTTGGGCCGCCGGCCCACTTACGTGGAGTTGGATGTGGGGCAGGGCTCTGTGTCCATCCCTGGTACCATGGGGGCCCTCTACATTGAGCGGCCAGCAGATGTTGAAGAGGGATTCTCTATCCAGGCCCCTCTGGTGTATCATTTTGGCTCCACCACTCCTGGTACCAACATCAAGCTTTATAATAAGGTCAGAGCCAGGGCCAAGGTGGGGTGGAGGGAAGGGCTGCTGTCAGGGTTGGAAGCTGTGCAGAAGTTTGCCAGTTAAAATTCTTTGCTTGCTCTCAGCTGGTATTACTGCCACATGATTTTGGAAAAGACGGTTTCAAAAATAAGCCAACCTGGGCTTCCCTGGTGGCGCAGTGTTTGAGAGTCCGCCTGCCGATGCAGGGGACGCAGGGTCGTGCCCCAGTCCGGGAAGATCCCACA